TATTTGCAGATGATATGATCTTATACACAGAAAACCCCAAAGAATCCACAAGAAAACTACTGGAACTAATAGAAGATTTCAGCAAAGTTTCAAGATACAAGATAAACGTACAAAAATCAGTTGGATTCTTTTACACCAACAAAGAGAATCTCAAACAGGAAATCACCAAATCAATATTTACAATAGGCCCCAAGAAGATAAAATACTTAGGAAGAAATCTAACCAGAGATGTAAAAGCTCTATACAATGAAAACTACAAGAAACCAAAAGAGACCTGCATAAGTGGAAAAACATACCTTGCTCATGGAATAGGTCGACTCAGCATCGTGAAACTGTCAATTCTACCCAAAGTGATCTACAGACAATGCAATCCCGATCCAAATTCCACTGGCATTTTTTAATGAGATGGAGAAACGAATCACCAACTTCATATGGAAGGGGTTAGAGGCCCCGAATAAGTAAAGCATTACTCAAGAAGAACAAAGTGGGAGGCCTCACACCACCTGATTTTAGAACCTATTATACCGCCACGGTAGTCAAAACAGCCTGGTACAACAGATACATAGACCAATGGAACAAAATTGAGAATCCAGACATAAATTCGTGCACCTAAGAGCAGCTGATATTTGACAAAGGCCCAAACTCCATTAATTGGGGAAAAGACAGTCTCTTTTACAAACGCTACTGGCATAACTGGATATCCATCTGCAAAAAACTGAAACAAGACCCATACCTCACACCATGCACAAAAACTAACTCAAAATGCATCAAAGACTTAAATAAAAATCAAAACGATAAAGATCATGGAAGAAAAAATAGGGACAACGCTAGGCGCCCTAATACATGGCATAAACACAATACGAACCGTAAGTAACCATGCTCAAGCACCAGAAGAGAGACAAGAGAAATGGGAGGTCCTAAAAATCAAACACCTATGCTCATCAAAAGACTTCACCAAAAGAGTCAAAAGACAACCTACAGACTGGGAAAAAATTTTTGGCTACAACAAATCCGATCAGCGTCTACCCTCTAAAATCTACAAGACACTGCAAAACCTCAACAACAAAAAGACAAATAAC